TATGTCCAACAATAGAAAATGGTTGGGTTCATAAAGCAGAACATTATAGAACAATATTATAAGAAGAAATACTTAAAATAGTGTGGCTGTAAGTCAGCTTTCCAAGTATGTTACTCTTTCCTGTGTCTCAGGCAATGTGCCCGTAATTTTATTTATGATTGTTGTGCCCAGATTTTGGAACCCCAAAAGAACCCGCCAACAAGGAGACAACTCACCAAATGCAAGGACAAAGGTTTCTTTACTGACTTGAGGATACAAGCTGCAGCAGGAGCCCCATTCTTTCGGGAACAAATGAAGTACCCACTTTTGACTGAGGGGTGTTTTTATAAGGGAAAATTGTACGGCTGGAAGCCCCAAGATTACAAAACTTCCGTGGTTACTCAGGACAGGACAAAGATTGTATGCTTTAGGCAAGGTGCAATTAAGCAGGATGCTGCAGAGGAAATGGGTTTGTTAATTGTCTCCTGGGCTGGGGACTTCTACAATTAACTATCTGATCCTCTTTGGCCCAGAGGAATGTGGACACCATTCTAGGGTGTGACATCTGGTCTAAGGGCTTGAATCCTGTGGACCTTTGTTTAACCTTGTCTGCTGGGCTGCCTTTTGGGAGCTTAGAGTTTTCTTTTTGGGCTTTGGAGTCTGGGTTTTAGACTTTTATTAATTTTCCCCTTTCAATGATATTCAATGTTATGATTTCTGTTTTCATCAGAAAGTATCCTTCATTTTTCATTTGCAACAGTGGTTTCAGATTCTTTGGACATATCTCTCAAATCTGTAGGATGAAGCCCCAACCCAGAAGCCCTGAGTAAGATGTCTAGCTAACAAGACAGGCTGGGTCCATGGAAGCAGGGAGAACTCTGTTGTTGCCTGCTGGGTCTCCGCTAGACTCAGTTCCCAATCATACTGGGACAGGGCACTAACTCTTTGAAAAGTGCTGAGAAAATGTTTTTCTCTCAAGTTCCGAAAACCAGTAAGGCATATCAGCTCTGCCATGGGAGCACCTCTGAAAGCATGTCATCCTGGGAGGTGGGGAGAAGGACCACAGCTTTGTGGGTAATTGAGGTAGCTGCAGGGCACCCCAGTGAGTCTGGAACAGTGCCATGGTTGCAGGCCTGGAGAGCTTTTGGGGACTGTGAAAGTAGAGGAGTGTCTCATAACTCCCTCCTGAGAACTGTAGACAATTGCTGGCACAGAAATGCTATACAAGCAGGCTATAGCAAGAGCTGATGGAACCTGCGTTATTAATTATATATAATCTAAAGACTGGTGGGCAGGAAGCAATTGTGGAAGTTTGCACCAACCATACAAATACAACATCATGTACTCCTGTGCCACACATTAATTTATAACGTGCATTTCTATACTTTTGGGCTTGAATGATACAACTTTCTTCTCTGTTTGTCTGTGTATAAATGTATGTGTGTATAAATGATCACAGTTACATTTATCCTAAAAACAAATCAATATTTAATAAAAATCAGAAGATACAATTATTGTAGCCAACTGTTCTATCCATATCCAGTCTTCATTCTTAACTAGACCTAACCTGAAACGTGCTTGACTGGAAACACTCCTGTGTCTGAGTGTATAATTGAGTCAGTTTATGCCACCTTTGAATACTAATTATCAGATTGTAACAAACTGATTATTCAAACTGAGAAATATTCTTCCCACTGCAGTTTGGTGGGTTTTGTCTCAATATACATTTTCCTACTAACACAGAATCACTTGTGGCACTGAAATGCACTGGGCAACCTGCAAAGAGACTTTAACTCAAGTCCCAAGCCACAGAAATCATCATGGGTGCCTTGGAGAAGATCAAATCATGAACCTTGGCAGCCTATACCACCAGGATCCCCTGTTTCTAGACATCTGTTTGCAGTTCCTCTATCTGGACTAGGGCATTAAGCGTCCCAAAGCAATTTAAGAAGACAGGCTTTCTATTAGCTAAGGTAAACTCTGTATGGTCTATGGTATGGGTTAGTTCTTCCACTCACTGGTCCACCCTGCATATATACAAAGAACATTTGTGTATGTGTGCTGCAAGGGCTTTGTGAGAGCCAAGGTATAGATACTATACTAAAAGACTGAGTATAGAGCCTAATGTTGCACCTGGCACACTGAAGATACTCAACAAATGAGTCTCAAACATTTGTGTATGTGTGCTGCAAGGGCTTTGTGAGAGCCAAGGTATAGATGCTATACTAAAAGACTGAGTATAGAGCCTAATGTTGCACCTGGCATACTGAAGATACTCAACAAATGAGTCTCAAAAAAAAAAAATGACAGTCTGTGACATTGATGGTGATGGTGGTGATGATGGTAGGACCACTTGACCCATTTAAAAGTATGTTCCTTAAACCAAGGTCTCCTTACCTCACACACACACACACACACACACACACACACACACACACACCTCATCACAGCTCTCCTACACTAGCAAATAATCAGAGAGTGTCTTGACTATTCTAATGAAGTTTTCAGTTATAACGAAGCCTCCTCACCTGCACTTCCCTCTATCTTCTGACTCACAATTGCAAGTTCCTATATGTCTTTCTCTTCCCTTCCCCAAAGTAATGGGCATTCTTACCGCCTGCCGCTAGGCTACTTTCTGGATGCAGTTCTCAGAATGGCCAGTAGAGGGAGGAAGAGCACGCGTGCTGAGTTTGGAAGTTCGCCATGTAACAAGGAGAAATGGCCTGTGCATGTGGCTAGCAAGAAAGGATCTCCAATCACCCGGATTCAGGATGTATGGATATGAGATTCAGGACGAGAACATCGGGGAGTAGTGCTACTCTGGCCACTCCGAACACAAAAGCTGCCGTTTCTATAGCGGGGATGCTGGTGGGAGAGCTGCGCTGCCTCCACGCAGGCTCACCCCACACAGTCACACAGGGGAGCCTCTCTGGGGTTGCTTTATCTCTCTGTCCGCTGTTGCTCCCCAGCCCTAGTCTCGACTTGGCAGCCTCTAGTCCTCTAGCATTTTCCCTACTTCAGTTTCTAGTTTACCTTCTAAATTTTTATGCCCTGTTTAACCTTTATTGCTTAAGTTTCCAGGGTTTTGTTTCTACAGTATTCAGAGTTTGTTAATTTAACAAATTACATTCTCCTCAGGGAGGAGAATGATGTAATTATATTATAATCGCAACTTATACATTAAGGAAAGAATGTGTCCTTAAGACAGAGTGTCTGTGAAGAGTTTTTCACTGTAGTTTCAGAAGTAGAACTGTGTTGGGAAGTGATGAGAAAACAGACTTCTAATCAACAAAAGGACGAGTTTCTTATTAATTAAAACATTTCTAATGATGCAATAAGCAGTGGGAACTGTGAATATTTATGATGAAACTATGTAGTTTATTTTGGAAGGATTTCCTCAATTAGGTGTTGAGAGGACTTTAAAGTCTGCCCATTTCATGATGCTTTGACTTCCTGTTTTCATAGAAAATGGTGTGGGAATGCTTATGTACTATAGTTACTTTAGTGTGAGCATCAAGGGACATCTTGTCTTCTTGTATTATAGTAAGTCACTGCAAAGCTTTATCTGGTGCCAGGAATTGCATTTCAAGAGGGAAAGAAAGGGCAGGGGATATGGCTAGTGGGTTAGTGCTTTCTTAGTGAGCATGAAGTTCAGAGTTGATCACTAGCAATACATAATACTAGTGTATGCCTATAATCTCAGCACTCCAGAAGTAGAGAAAGATCAGTAATTCAAGGTCATCCTTGGCTACATAGTGAGTTGAGGCTAGCCTGGACTACATGAGACACTGCCTCAAAACCAGAAAGAAATCAAGGATTTGAAGACTTGTATTCTTTGGTACTGCACTGCTACCAACTGTCACCTCCTACTACCACCCAAAAACCTGCTCTTCCAAACAGCTGCTCCTAATGGCACCTGAAGATGCTAGTTGTTAATATAAGGACATACTATGAGGTAATATTCCCGAATCTGATGGAACAGTTCAAAGGACTTCCTCAACATACAAGTCCTGTAAAATCCTAGGAAGTTCTGCCATCTAAATGATCCATGTTAAACTTTTAATTAATTAACTAGTGTGTGTGTGTGCCTATGTGTATGTATATGTAAGTGTACATGAGCACATAATAGAGAATCAGATCCCTTGTAGATGGCTATGATTGACATCCATCTGACAAGGATCACTGGGAATAAAACCTAGTTCTTTTGCAAGTACAGTGTGCACTCTTAACCACTGATCCATCTCTCCAGCTCCATAATCTACCCTTAATAAGAACAAACCAAACAGATCACTTTATTGCAGGATTCCTCTGACTTCCATTTCTTGTGTGTAGTGCTCCTTTCCTAGGAGAAAAAGGAAACAAACCACTTCCAAACTTCTTTAAGAGAATGTTTTCTGTCTAGAACACCTTATCACACTAATGCCTGGACTTCAACATTTTGGAGAAATTATATTCATGTATCTCTGCCAATATTTTCTTAGAAATTTCCTTCATTCTCATTAACTGATTAAGCAGGGATTGCAGCACAGTAGCTATACTGGCTAACTTGTCTAATACTTTTAATTCCATTTGATTTCCAACAGAACATCTGTTACTGTTTTCATTATGTAGAAGTCATATCAGTAGCTGGCTTAAATTTCTCCACATCATCCCCCTTATTGGTAGCAAAAACCAAAGTGAATGCAGGCTTACTTTTGCTTTTCAATGTGAAGCACCTCCTCCTGTGCTCAGCACAAGTCCTCTTCAAGGCTGATGACTTGGTTACAAGATAAAGGCGGAGGAGTGTAAGTTCCATCGACATGCAGGTCTTCAAAGCACGACTTCCTGAAGGCATAGGAGTTGTCACAGCAGTGGCCCATTCCAGCATTGACAGGCTTGGCATCATGTCTTCTGCACAGAGCTCCAAGGATCAGCTTTGCCTTTTCCAAAGGAGAGTCAAAGTGAGAGCAGTGAGTTCGTGTTTGTTGTCCTTTTATCCATAGACGTTGAGATTATATCTGCGCATCCCCAAGCTGGACTTTCTTCTAACACCACCTAGGTCTCACTTTGGGAGGAAACAGAAGGCTATCAGTGTGGACTGAGCCCCAGCTTAAGCTCCCTCTTCATGTCACTGTCAAGCTGAGGTGCACTTGAGTCATCTCGAGGTTCCTTCCTCTGTCATCTGATAGACTGGCTTCAGCATGAGATTACAGCTTCTTATACCTACCCAACACCACCAATGCAGCATCAATCACCAAGCCCACCTTACAGCCAGTGTGACTCGGATGTGTAGGCTGGTAGTACTTCTCTGCAAGCTCCAATCCGGTGTTTTCCAACTGGGTAACAGACATCTGCAACCGACTGCAGAACTGACACACAGTAGGTGCTCCAGGGGTGTTTAAATGCATGATCAGGGAGCCTGGTCCTGTTTCTGTCATCTCCCTTTTTTTCTTGACCCCTTCTAGAACTGTCTCCTTATCTTGCTCCCACTCCAGTGCTCACAACACAAATACTCACCCTCACAGTGTCTGCTTGTGTGACACTCTGTGTACACTGGCCATCCAAATGCCCTGTCACTCAGGCATTTGAGGATGAAGTTATTCAAACCAGTCAACACAAACATTGAATTATGAATTCATCCATTTTAGAAGTAACCAAGACAACTTCCCCAAAGCAAGGCTCTAGGAACAGATGAATCTAATCAGATGAATTCCTCAAGGAAGGCATGATTCCACAACAACAAAAAATTTAAGTGAAAATGAAGGTAGGGCTAGATAATAACTTTGGATCTTTAATTAAATAACTGCTTTCTTAGAAGAAAGGCTGTAGCAAGTTAGTATAAAGGATACAGTCTACTGTGAATATAGGACAAACAAAAGTAGCACCAAATAAGAATTCAGAAACGAGGCCATGTGACTTGAGAGACCTAGAAGCTAAATCTCAGCGGTTTGAGCACCCTGCAGCTCAGGGACAGTCTCAACGGTGAAGAAGGAATGGTTATAATCAAGCTTCAAGGGACCCTGGAGGAAATGTACTCATTCCTGCCCTTCCTTTCATCTCATGTGAACTAATGCTCCTATTTGATTTCAATCTCTCTAATATTTTGGTTGAGGAAAACAATGGCCTGTTAATGCAACCAATGGTCTCTGGCTCCGAGAAGACATTGCTCCTTGTGAATGAGCATACTTAAGCACTAACACTTTAAACATCACGAGTTCCACGGGCATTCATCAGACATCTGCAACATCTTTCAAACTCCTGACAAAGTCGGTTTTGTCAACTTTAAAACCCAAGCAATAGACTCCTGTAAGCGACCCAGGGGAAAGTTTTGTGTATCTGATGACACAAGCTGGAGAGGGGACAATCCTCCCCTGTTGCTAATTAAAAACAGTTGGCATGAGTTGCCTGGGAAGAGTCTCCCTGAGGACTATTAATCCCCTTGGTAGGTCATGGATCTGTCCACATAAATGATTCCTTGGGTCAGGGAAGCAGAACTTCTGACAGATGGTAGATGCCTCACAAGTGGGCTTACCGCATCCTCGACACAGGCAGGTTGCAGCTCATCGCTAAGTGGGCAGCATCTACTGGCAGCCGCTGCCATCTTCCTCATGAATATCACCAACTCCTGTGAAGACAGCTGTGGAGCTTTCTTAGTATAAAGGACTGTGAGCCTAAAACATTAAGTTCTTCTTACTCTAGGTAATATGAACACGCGCAAATATCCATCTATACCAGGGGTTCTCAACCTGTGGGTCACGACCCTGTTGGGGAATCAGACTTTCAGAAGTGTTGCTTCGCAGATATCCTGAATATCAGAATTCACATGTTGACTCATAACAGTAGCAAAATTGCAGTTATGAAGTAGCAATGAAATAATTTTCATTATTGGTTGGCGGTGACTACAGCATGAAGAACTGTATTAAAAGGTTACAGCATTAGGAAGGTTGAGAACCACTGATTGACAGTTTCTCACAATATCCAACATTATCTCTGATGTAGGAGGAATGAGGCATTAGATGAGGCTTAAGGACCTCTTTTGCCCTGTCCTGATGGCTCAGTGAGTAATTAGACACAATTGCCATTGTCCTCACACTCATGGCCGCCTCCATCCTAACCCATCTTTATTGGACTAATCAGGGATACCTAGAGTTTGATGAAGCTCCTAGGGACTATTTGCCTTGGGTGGAGCAGCTCGAGTTCTCCAGGGACTCCCACCCCAGATGGCAGGGGCAGACAAGCACAGTGTGTGGGAGCTTCGGAGTGCTACCGGTGCTGTGAGCTAAGTTAGAACTTTAAAAAGGCTCAAGTCTCTGGCCGAAAAGGAGGGAAGGAATTGCCTCCCCCTCCGCCTTTCTTAGTGCATTCACTTCAGAAAACCTTTGAATGGATTCCTCCCATATCTAAGTGCATAAATACGTATTTTAAAACATTTCTATCAACTCTATGAGGCAGCAATGTCTTCTTTGGGGACTCAAGATCTAGGGACATAGGCAGCTCCCCTTTCTCCCAGATTTTTGGTGTGGGGAGAGCTTGGCTTCAGGGAGAACCCTGCTGCAAATTACAAAATGCCTCATTGCTTGAAGATACATGAAGGGCTAATTCATGCGAATTAGGACCATTAGCAGGTAAAGCTAGAGTGAATTTTGACAAGTGGGACTGTCAAATCATCTTGAGGACTAGTCATTGTTCAGAATGAGTTCACCAAATATTGTGCAGAATGGGTTGTATCTGCTTAGCTGTGGCTGGGGACTGTGACTTCTGTCTGTCTCTACAAACTGTTAGTGGACACACATTGCATTAGTGATGCGCATCTCACTCTGGTTTAATGTTTATTCAATTAAGAAGAAACTAGTCTATTTCAATACTACCTTGACAGAGTTTGTTCCTAATGATAGCTCCCGGACAGTGCATAAAAGATGACCAATAGGAGGCCAGGCAGGGCAACTGGAGGAAAGGGCTTCAGAACTGAGAAATGGCAATGCCTCTGAACGAGTCAGGTGGTGGGCATAGGATAGGAGGAATTGGGAGGTCATTGACAGTGGCTTTGGGGGGGGTGTTTTTTGAAGGTGGGGGAGGGGAAATAGATATGAAATAAGTTTCATCATGTCTTAAGGTAATGACTTCTTTGAGAAGAATGCACTGCGGATTCCCAACATCACAGCAGGGAGTCGAGCTATTTTAAGTCTGGTTCTAGCAACACAAGTAAAAGAAAATGACCTGAATTGGGATAGCGGTGTTGATGCCAGAAAGACATGAAGTGGTTTTAAAGAGAAACACTACAGAACTGGGTGTTCAAGACCACAAACAATTAGAATTAATTGCTGCATTTCTAGTAGAAAACCCACATGGAAGAAAGACATTTTCTACAACAGCCAGGGAGAATCTGGGCCTGGGTTCTAATGTTGCATCCTAAAGTTTGGGAGCCACAAATCTAATCTTTCCAGTGGGCATTAGCAACTGAATACAACATAATAGAAAAACACTAAGCCAAAAGCCCTGCCTAAAACAACCAGGACATGTTCCGTGATCCATTATTTTGGACATTTAATTCAAACTCGATATTATGAGATACTACATCAAACTGCACTTTTCTTTAATACTGTGTTTCTAAATAGACCATTCTAGTAAGACCTCAAAGATTCCCAGCATGGGCTTTACTTTTAGATTACTTAATCCTTGATAAATAGGATTTCCCAGGCTCTCTGTGCCCACGGTGTTCCTATTCCCTTTGACAAATAACTAAGGGATCCATCTAACTCTATACTTGGTGGTAAACATACCAGCCTTGCCTGTAAAACCTGACTTGAAAGTGACAAGGAATCCTGGATTCCAATCTCTATTGCAGCTTTGATTCCAAGTCACAGTCACAGCCCCAAGGTATGAGAGTTCATGGTGGCCCTTCAAGGCCAGATTTACTCCCTTATCTCAGAGGCATCTGGGGAACTAGCTTTGGAAGCAAAATGGAGGCTACCTAAGTTATATAAATATCTATTGAATCAGCACAGAGGGCTGGTTAATACTCAACTTAAGAGTGTGTGCAAATTCCGAACAACTCTTAGCATGGGGATTAACCAATAGTCAAGGATGAATCTGGGCCATTTTAGGAGAATACCTGTCCTGGAAGCTAGGGCCTCCTAACTTCTTATATAAGTCACAGTAAGTTTTAACACAGTCACGGTTTTCAGAGACCACTCTTTGGAACATCTCTTTCTGAAAAATAGACGTTGTTAGTGTTTTTCCAGGGTCAAAACAATATGCCTTGAGTTAGAATAACAAATACAAATAACAAATTTCCTGAGTAGTTTAATAACATTTGCTTAAACACTCCTTTTTTTTCAGTTAGTGAGTTTGAAAAACTTAAAAAAAATGTTTTTTTTTTTTCTGAAAAAGAAATCATCACATGTTTTGTGGGAAACAAGTGTAACAGCAGGATTGAGAATTTATCTTACCATGACATAAACTCATTTACGGGCCTAAATGACAATTTCTATAGCCACAAAGCAAATCATTCATCAAACCAGAATGAGAGAGGGAGAGGTAGTATATAGATCTATCTGTCAGTGTGTGTGTGTGTGTGTGTGTGTGTGTGTGTGCATGTGTCCGTTGGTTCATTTAATAATTAGGCTTTTTATAATTGCAGCATGCATGCACACATATAAGCTTAAAATATATAGGTATAGAGATGGATGTGTGCTAAGAAGTCATGGTCTAATATAAACATTAGCAGTCACAGCTATAAAACATGTCACAAATATACACCAAAAGGAACCAAACAAGATTTTCAGAGCTAAAGATAAGTCAAAGTGTTCTTGAACTATGAAATAGACCCAGTGAGAAGGCATTAGTAACCTTGCAGGCTCAACTCTTGGACAGGCGCACATTCCCTCAGTAACACAGTCTACCTTATCCTAACAAGCAGCATTTGGCATAGGGAAAATTCCGCAGATTTGTAAGCTGATGGCCCGTGTTTTATTCTTATCGCTGTCATTAATCCTGGTGTAAATTAGGCAAATTGTCTAACCCTTTGAACTTTAATCTTATCTGCAGAATGCACTCAGAAACTGCAGCATGGCCTGTTTTCCCAGGCTATTGAGAGATTCAGATGGGTGCTATGGTAAGGCTGCCTACCCTCTGCCCACCCATGCTCCTGCATGGTGCCACAGTTTTAGATTACTGTAGAAGCTGTCTTAGTGAGGGCTGCTGTTGATGTGATAAAGCACCATGACCAAAGCAACTTGGGCAGGACAGGGTTTATTTAGTTTGTGCTTCTGCTATTCATCATCAAGGAAGTCAGGACAGGAAGGCAGTAGCTGACACAGAGGCTATGGAGGAGTGCTGCTTACTGGCTTGCTTGCTCCCCATGGCTTGCTCAACTTGCTTTTATAGAACCCAGCATCACCAGCCCAGGGGTGGCACCACACACAATGGGCCTGCCCTTCTACATCAATCACTAACTAAGAAAATGCTCTGCAGGCTTGCCTGCAGACTGGTCTTAGGGAGGCATTTTCTCAATTGAGGCTTTCTCCTTTCTGATGACTCTAGTTTGTGTTGACATAAAACTGTCTAGCACAGAAGCCTGTGATTTTGAAAGGGCTCACAGTCATATTTACTTCTCTAGAAACAGAAATACTGGCTGTACCTGGTTGAACCAAGACACCAAAAGACACACCTTTGCTTTTTTTTTTTTTTTTTTTTTTTTTTTTTTTTTTGATTTTTGAGACAGGGTTTCTCTCTGTAGCCTTGTAGGTCCTGGTACTCCCTCTATAGACCAGGATGGCCTCGAACTTAGAAAGATCCCCCTGCCTCTGCTTTCCAAATGCTGGGACTATGGACTTGGGCCAGTATCTCCCAGATAGTCCCTGCTTTGTGTAAACCATCAGTTAGAAAACAAAAGTCAGAACTACCTAGGCCTTGGGAATCCATGGCGGCCAACCATCAAAGCTGAAGCTTGTGAGGACTCTAGCATCTCCATGAAAACTGCATAGCAAGAACTGTGGTCAGGCAGATTTTGAGCTTGGAAGGGAAGCCTTTTCCAAGACATGGGACCCAAGCAGGCTGTACTGCCCTGCTACTGTGCCGAGCTGGCATCCGCATGCATTTCAAAGAGGACACGTGGCAATGTGGGCGTTGGGGGTGTCTCATGAAAAATTCTATGAGACAGACAAGTCACTATGCTATGTGTGATGATTTGGCCTCAATTTAGGAAGAAACCTTGCTTCTTGCCCAGTAATCGTTAAACATGCAGACTCATTTTACAAAAGGGTGGAATAACGGGACTAGGACTTTCACTGTTTATAACCACTAGTGAGAAACATGTTTAAAAAAATAAATAAAAAAGAATTTACCCCACAGCTATGGCATTCCAAAGGACTTTCTAACTTGCAACATTTCTCCAGTAAATGTTTATATGTGCCATACACTCTTAAAATCACTGGAACTGCCAACTCCGGGTGTCTCCTTGAATATTCATAAAGAAACCTGTATTGCATAGGACACATGAAAAGACAAAAATTAAAACCCAGAGGCTATGGATTATTTGTTTGTTTGTTTGTTTTTGTTTTTTAAACCATGTTGACCAGGGAATTGAATTGACTTTAGAAACCTTGGGAGGTTTTCAGAAGGTCTTTATTGATATGTTTTGAGAGAAGAAAGCAAAATCAATAAAATCACATGATTTTCCAAAGTTACGTGGTAGTGAATGGCAGATTCAGAACTTGAACCTGAAACACTAGCAGATTCTGGCTCAGTGTCTAGATCCTTCCATGTGAGATTAATTTCAAGTATTTGTATTGGAAGACATATGTTCCAATTACCTTTGGGATTTTCTTAAAGGACCTTCCAGGAACCATCCTCCCCACTTTAAAAAACAATAAGCAGTAAGTGTGACTAGTCCCTTTATAATCTACACACTTATTCATCAGAAAGAAATAAAAAAGAAGGCTGGAGAGATGGCTCAGTGGTTAAGCACACACACTGCTCTTCTCGAGGACCAGAGTTCAGTTCCTGGCACCTACAGGAGCTCACAACTGCCTGTAACGCCTGCTCCAGGGAATCTGACATTGATAGCCTCAGTATTCACAGAGACATGCCTACACACAGATGATAATAATAGTAATAATAATAATCTTTAAAAGGAAAATAAAACTGATTCTAGAATGTTCTCTAAACGCAGGATTAAAATGAGGCTGTTGGTGCTTCCTCATCAACTGCCTCAGTTTACCATTGGAACACACTTCCTGGGAGTTCAAGCTGCCACACAGCTTATGAATATCAAAGCTAGGTTGGAACTCAGGTTCCCCGAAAGCACAGTTTAATGTGCCTTTTACTATTGGGTCTAGTCAGCACAGGTCCATTGACTTTTCAGTACCAAATGCAAGTTTAGGAATTTATATGAGTGGATTCAGATAGTGGTATTCAATTTTATTAGGTAATATGTAAAATATAAGTGAGGTCATTTGGTGTTGAGGAAAACTCAATTCTCATGGTTGCATAAGTGACTCTGGAGGCATTTTAATTGCACAATACTGTTGTCTTAATACTATGTTTTGAAATCACTCTGTGTTAATGCAGAAATTATTATCTACTTCTGAATAGCCACCAATGATATTAATATCCTAACTCCTTAATGCTTAAATGTTATGTGCATTTGATAGTGTATATTAAATTAATTAGAACAGAAGTGCTAGGAATACCAATTTGATCGTATTATTTATCCTTGAGTCCCTCATTCCTTCCAATGCTTGTGACATTTGACTATCACTATGCTCTTTTTAGAAGCCCTTACACTAGTTGTCAGCATTTGGGAATAAAGGAGTTTCTAGCTTCTCTTTCATGTGTTATTCCCAACCACCCCACATTCCCACATGGCATCATGAATAGAGCTGAATATCTAATGACAGCTTCAGACTCTAAAAGCATCTCCCCTTGGCCATAGAGCCCATCCCTGGCCCCATTTTCATTCACATTTGTAACATCTCTCAAATTAATTCATAAGCACCCAGGGAAAGATGAATTACTCTTGTAGAAAGTCATCCTGCTTGTTACTGAATTGCTTGCAGGCAGACTGGTCTTCTGTAAACCTTCTGAATGACAGAGGTGAAAGGTTGGGTTTGTCATCATTTCCCGAGTTGATAATGCATTCCCCACGGAATGGTTCTGGCTATTCACAGCACTGAGCAAACTTGCTGGATAAGATGGCCTGGTTAGAGCAGGTATAGTTCATAAGCTGGTGCTGAGAGACATGAATGGACAGTTATTATTTGATTGCTTTGTTCTCAACTTATCTTTGTAATTAGAGAATATCATAGGGAAACTTGATACTATACACTGCTTTACCCCATGCAAACGAAAAGGCCCAAGGAGACATTCATCATAACTCATTTTGGAAAGAAATTCTTGTCTAGTTGACCTTACTTAGCATCTCAAATTTTTTATCTACCTATTAAAAAGACAGGAAAGGACAGATTGTTTTAATTTTTTCACTTTTAGTCCAAAAATCACAGTCCTATTGTTGTTTTTATTGTAGGATCCCAGTCTGGGAAGCATTTGTCCCAGGATCACATCATCCTGTCTGTTACTTGGTGTAGTCCATGTTGCTATTCTACTTATATGTCATCTTAAGTACCCAGAGAATCGGTTATTTGTGTGAATTAAGAACTTGTGATCTACTCAAAGAGTCAAATAACTAAACAAAACAACCACAAAATGGTAATATAAGGAGATCAATGTGATTCTTCAAAAGAAATCAAAGAAATTGACAATCTAGGTAGGATGAGGTCACGGTGATGGTCTTGAATGACTTGAGTCACAAAGGATAATTAGAAGTTAATTTGAAACAAGTGAAGACAAAGATATCCTAGAATTATCTATTTTATATGTATATAAAATCTTATCAGTAAGAAAGCATGATGTGGTTGGGATAGGGTCATTTGAAAGTCATTGAGGGAATTACTTGAGGCGTATTTAGACCAGGGGGTACTCACAGGTAGAAGGGGAAAAATGTTTTGACAAAAGGGAGTGAAGGGAATGAGGAGACAGGACCCAGGACTAGTTGGGACCGTGGGAAGTATAATTCACTAAAACTCATGTTCAGGGACAAGAACAGATGAGGACAGTGTCTGAAGAGTGAGACCAAAGAATTTCCTGGGGATGTTCAGAGTACAGAATGAGGCATTTATAGGGAGATTTGCACTAAGCAGTATCAGGTACTCACAAAATCTAGGAAAGGGTGACGTGGAAATCTAAGTTGAAGAGTCATATGGAAGACAAATCATGGGGTCAATTTGAGTCTCTGAAGGATGTGTAAGCTGTGTGTGAGCTGGTTAACTGGGGAACCAGCATGCTCTTGGTGGCTCAGCACTGTTAGGGAGGAAAGGTGACTCCTCCAGGCAGCAGTTCCAGGAAGGAAGGCCAGCTTTTTTAACGCCTACCTGTGGCTCCTGGCGTTGCCTTTAGCACTAAACATTACTGGGATGAGAGTGTGATGGGAGAGTAGGGGCTAGAGACTGAAACATCAGGTTAACATGAACCAAAACAGTGTTCAAAGAAAGACAGACAGGGAGCCCTTCTCCATCTGGATTTCATCTAATTAACAGAGCATACTGAGAAAAAGCTCATGGCATACAATTGAGGGAGAGATGGTGCTATAGAAATGTATTAGAAAAGGTCATGATGCTTGGGGTGGGGTAGGGAGGGTGGGGTGTGGGGTTGGAGGGCAATTTCTCCCTTAGGTCACTAGTCCACTCTTATTCTCAGGAGTTCCTTCTCTTTTGTAATAAATGATCTCTGTTTGCGTTTCTAATCAGCATGTGTCCCTGTTACACACAGGAATCTAGATACTTCAACAAGTGCCCAGGCCACCGTGGCCTCTGCTAATAACAGGAGTGAGTGTGCTGTAGGATGGAACCCAGGAGAGAGCTGTACGCTGGACCTCAAATGACCTAGATTACTTATAACTAGGACTCAGGCAAGTGGCCCCACCTAGTTTTCAGTCAGTCAGGAAATAAAATTCATGTCCAGAAACAGCTATAGTCTAGACAGGAA